GCGGCCGAGGCCGGGGTGCCCCCCACGACCGGGCCGCGTGCCTCACCCGGGGGAGCCTGGGACCGGAGACCCCGGGCGGCAGCCAGGGCGAGGAGGGCGGCGAGGCCCGGGCGGGAGGCGACAGCCTGGCAGGAGGGCACCTGGGGCCGGCCGAGGGCGGGGACTCGGGTGTCCGGTTGCTCCTTGTTGTTGAGGGAAGTTTCCGACCGCGGGAGGATCTGCGGGCGGCTGCTCAAACTTTTACCGCTGGGGAGGGGGCGCTTGGTCCTGGACGTGTAACTTCGCTGGTCCCAGCACACTACCCTCGCAGGGGCTTACTGCGGCTTCGGGAAGTTAGACATCTCCCTCTTTCGGCCAGTTTCTTCTTGACGTTGTAATCCTGTCGAGGAGGAGGTCTTTTATGTCCTGTGTGCCTTGCTTGGCGCTTCGTCAACGCTCAGATGTCCAGCCATGCTCAGCAGAGCGGCAGAATATACTGTTATTTTATTGGCATCCCACACCGAGGGAGGCGTAATTCCCGGTCAGGTGGTAACCTTGGACAGTTCCTTTCCGAACCCCTCTGGGGCGGGCCTGAGGAGGTGTAGGTGACAGTCCCACCCTTCTCCCCTCCGGTCTGCGGCCCAGTACAGCCTGGAGGTGCATCGGGCCGGCTGTTCACTCCAGCACTCGATCTGTGACCTCGGCGCCCTCACCTGCAATCTGGGACCCTTTCAGAGCTCTGAGGTGCTTCTTGGGAGAGCCAGAGATCGTCGTTTTCAGGCTGTGGTGGCATTGATTCTGTACCACTGATCTAAGGCAGGCCAAGGGTCCCGTTTGTCTTTGATTCCTCTGCAGCTAGCACACCTGGCTAAATACCTGCTGTTTGAAGGGGGCTAAATAATTATGAAGCAGTTTCTGTTTTATTTTTCAAAACTACTTAAAAACGTTTTCGGCTTGTGATATTTCTTTAGTAGCTCATTTCCTGACATTAAATAATAGCACCTTTTAAACTTCTTGGCTGGGCATGGTGACACACCCCTGTAATCCCAGCACTGGAGAAGGTGACACAGGAAGATTGTTGCGAGTTCAAGACCAGCCTGGGCTACAAAGTGAGAGCTTAAGGCCAGCCTGACCTGCATAATGAGACCCTGTCTCAAAAATACAAAAGATAAAATAAATTTCGTGTTTTGTGTTGTACATACAGTATTCCTTTGCACTCAGTTGTTTTTTTTTTTTTTTGGTGGAACCAGGGATTGAACCCAGACCCTTGCACTTGCCAGGCAAGTGCTTTTTCTACTGAGCCATCTCCCCATCCCCTAAAGTGTTCTTTTTAAGGCTTGATTATAGAAACAATTTTTTTTCAACACAGGAATCATATGCCTGCCAGGTCGCTGAGCTGTATCTTGGGCCCCTAGAAACATTTTCTTTCCCTTGTAAAAACCCTTGGCTCACCCAAGGGCCAGTGGAAATTTATAGATTTTTTTTGTTGTCCTTTGCTATCTTTCCCCAAGTGAACAATTTTTATTTCTGATTTTGAGATCCAGTTGTATCAAAGGAATGCCTTTGAATTTGCCAAACAAAATCAACTATTTCAAAAATATTTCCAAATATATAGGGCAGGAAGGGTTGAAAAAACAAGAATCATAATTTCCATTAGTTTACTAGAGCTTTTTATAGAACAGAGGGCAAGCAGTGTTTCTAGGCTGGCTTGCTGCTTGTATAGGCCGCATGTCGCTGGACGCGGAGAGAGGAATTAGCCCCATGGGCACACAGGTGAGGAGCAGGCCTGGTGTGGACTGTCACCTCTGGTAAAAGCAAGCCCCCCTTCCTTTAAACACCTGTCAGCCACATAAACATGGGCAGAGTGCCAGGGCCACGCGTGCCACAGAAGCCATCTGCCACAGGTTGCAGAATCAGCACAACTAACTGATTGACTCTGGGTTTTGTATATTTCTTACTTAAAAATTAATTTCTTAAGTAAGCGACCTTTAAAAAAAAAACATTATCCAGAGACGGTCTTTGTAGTTGTTGCTTTTTCAGCGACACCCGTGAGCGCTTTGGGCTGGGGTTCTGATGTGAGACTTGACATGAATGAGAGGCTTGAGAAGCCACCTCCCAGGCCAAAAGCACAAAGCCTGTATCAGCCTGTAAAACTCCCAGCACCCAGAAGCTGAGGCAGGAGGGTCATCCTGAGTTCGAGACCAGCCTGGGCCCCAAAGTGACCTCAGGGCCAGGTTGAACTGTATAACAAGACCTTCTCTCTCTCAAAAAATAGAAAGCCTTGAACTGGGATGTGGCTCAGTGGTAGTGTGCTTGGCCCATCTTTGAGAAGCTCTGGGTTCTATCCCCAGCATCCCCCAAAACAACAGCAAACTCCATAAAGGAAGGCTGATTTTTAGATAGATTTGGACAGTTTCAGATGCTAACTGACCCATCTCCGCTGTACCCCCCCAACCCCAAGGATGCCCCACCATTTGCCTTTGCCTGTGCTGTTCCTTGCCCCAGAATTTTCTTCCTCAGTTTGTCTGGCCAGCTCTGCCCTCAATTTCTTATCAATTGAAATTTCTTTTTTTCTGTGAGCCTTGCAATCTCTTCTATACACAGCACACCCTGTGACTCTACTGAGTGATTTGTTTTAAAATTAGTGATTTTTTTAAAAAGTAAATAAAACTGGATACAAAAAGATCTGGAGAAGTTAGGTATGGTAGTGAATACCTGTAATCCTTGGAGGCTGAGGCAGGAGAATTGGCATTTTTAGCTTCAACTTAGCAAGATCCCCATCTCAAAATAAAAAATTTTACAAAGGGGTTTAGGGCTGAGCAGAATGGAACAGCCTGTAAACCTACCATTTGGGAGGCTGAGGCAGGAGGGTGCTGCCAGTTTGAGGATATCCTGGGCTACACAATGAGATCCTGTCTCAAGCAGAAAGAAAAGGAAGGAAGAAGGAAGGAAGGAAGGAAGGAAGGAAGGAAGGAAGGAAGGAAGGAAGGAAGGAAAAGCGCGCGGGGTGGGGGGATGCTCTGGGGATGTACCTCAGTGGCATAGCACTGTCCAGCATGTTTAGATCCTGGGTTCAGTCCCCAGTGTCACAAAACGGTAAAAATGAAATAATAATGATCTAGAAAGAGGTGCCATTTTTTTTTTTAAATGTTTATTTATTTTTATTACATTTATTTATTGTGTGTGTGTGTGGCCAGCTCAGCCCACCAGGGGGCGGGTCTGGCTGGCATGTGGTGCTGGGGATCGAACCGCGGTCCCTGTGCTTTGCCAAGCTTGTTTTAAGTAGGTGCTTTAGACCACTGAGCCATCTCTCCAGCCCCAGAGGTGCCATTTTTGAGTAAGTTTTTTCTTAATTTTTTGTGCTACTTCTGATTCTTGTAAAATATACATGATTTGCTTTAATTTAAAAAATTGATCCTCTAACACTGAAAAAAAAAGAAGAGCTTTATAAAACGTTGGTCCCCAAGTTTCAGAACCTTTTCCTAGGGCCTGAGAGATAGCTCAGTGACGTAAGTGCCTGCCTGCTAAGTGCAAGGTCCTGAGTTTGATCCCTAGTACCAAAAACCAGAAAGAACCTTTTCCTTAGGAATTTAGCTGCAGGTGGGTGATTCTGGGATCCTCAAGAGTGTGCAGCTTGATGGCTGCTTTTTTCCTGTGGCATTTTGCTTAAACACTTAGGTGAGAGAGGCCAAGAACTTTTGCTTCATTTTTCTCCCAGTAACCAGCACTTAAGCAGTGACGAAATTGTTTTATATGAAGATTTTTTTTTTTTTTTTTTGAACCGGATTGAAGTCAGGCCCTTGCGCTTGCCAGGCAAGCACTTATTCTACTGAGCCATCTCCCCGGCCCCTATATGAAGATGTTAATGGAATTGTTTTCTTTGAAAGTGTGTGATTAGGACTTTATTTTGTACCTTCAGCACAGTCACTTGTCCTTTAAATTAGGAATTCTGACTGCACTTCGTATTTTGAGCCTTGTTTCTGTTAAGCCCAGTGCCCTAAGGAATTTACGTGGGATGCATCACGCAGGTCATCCCAGCACTTGGGAGGCTGAGGCAGGAGGATTGCTGCTAATGCCAGGCCACCCTGGGGTACATAGTGAGTTCAGGGACAGTCCACGTTGCATAGCGACACCCTGCCTCAAAAAAAAAAAAAAAAGAATGTGACATTAGAGTGAAGACTTCATGTTGCTGGAGTGGAGCAGCCTGTGGCGGGCAGCTTACGGGCCACACACAGGTGACCCGGGGCGCAAAGGAATGCGATACTGCTGCTGGGTGTGTTGGCATTTGGCTTCTTATGCATGCTTTGCTTTGTTCTGTGACAGGTTTTGCTGCATACATAGCCCAGGTGGTACTGAACTCTATAGCCCCAGCTGGCCTCAAACTGATGACGTCCTCCTGCCTCAGCCTCATGGGTGCTGGGACTGTGGGTGTGCAACACCTTGCCGAGTGACATTTTTTTTTTTTTTTTTTTTTTGGCAGAAGTGGGGATTGAACTCAGGCCTTTGTGCTTGCCAGCAGGCGCTTATTCTTGTGAGCTATTGCCCTGGCCCTACCTGACATTTTCTGTGTCTAGATTTCAGGCCAGTTTTAAAGTGAAATCCCTGTCTAGCACCTATTCAGTGGTGGGTGTGTGCGTGCGTGTTGGGAGTAGAACTCAGGACATTGCACATGCCATGCAGGCCCTGTCCCTGGCAATTCAGTGGGTTTTTAAAATTACTGTCTTTTGCTGTCTTCAGTTGGCTAAAGGTCTTGGTCCCAGAATGAGTGAGGTGCTGACTTCACTGTTCTAATCCTTTCTGGTAGAGAAAGGGTCAGCTGTGTTTTGGAATGTTATTAGACATTAATGAATTAATTAATTTGGTGGCGCCAGGGCTCAAAC